GTTGCAAAGTTAAAAGTTAGGTTTTTGTTAATGTAAAATTTCACTTCATAGTGAAAGCATTTCTAACTTGAAGCAGTGGTTACATAACTACTTTTACAGAAGCAAAATGGTGGTGCATAAGGAAATGCAATATATAGCTATATAGTCATTTTAGTTTTCAAGCCACACAAAAATGACTTATCAATCTTTAACACAATTCTGAAGTACTGCCTTGCAATGTAGGTTGCTTTAACTAATAAACATATCATAAAAAGATGCCAAACAAGGTTACTGTAGACTTGTACATATGCGAATCAACATTGAAATACTCGCTCTACTTCATCTATGACATATATCTTTACCATACACCAAAATATGCAAGATCTAGGTATTATTCCTAGGAACTACTACTCCAAGAGGAAAAAAGGGAGAAGGTATAAGAAAGGGAATTAATGAAATTAAGGTTGCTGAATTTTCACCAGTATTTGTCTGTTTTACTGTCTAGCTAACTTTCAGTAGCACTTACAAAAAAGACTAATTTGATTAGATGCATTAAAGCCTGATGCATTAACTTAAGCACACAAACTGAATGAAGGAACCAATGAGAGTTTTCCTCCTTGCATTTGGACTACTCAGATCTGCAGTGGACTCTCACAAATCTTCATCTCTGCTTCATGACAATCATATGTAAATGCTCTAGCTGAAAATGAGCTTTATACTTTCATTTACAAACCCTATTCCACCCCTGCCACTTTCATAGCTTTTAGTTGCATACATGAATTGGTAATCCTGTGTGTTTGGACTAATTCTTGAACATTTGATCTGGATTGTAACAAACAGGACATTTTTCCTTGTGGCTGCTATGTGAGAACAGAAAAGAAATAGGGTGCTATGTTTGTTAAAGAACATTAATTTTGATTGTTATGGAGAATGGCTACCTATATTTTTTAGTGATGTCTTAATAGAAATGTTACTAGCAATGAGTATAAGAACTCTGCATGGACACACAGAAAGAAAATCAGGTACGCTGAGGCATGAAGAGGGATGCATGATAGCAAGGGACCTAAAAATAAATAAATAAATAAATAAACAAACAAACAAATAAATCACACAAAAGCATTCTATAATGCTAGAAACAAGAGGAAGACCAAAAGAAGTGCAAGTCCCTTATTGAATACAGAGGGAAATTCATAATGGATTATGCAGAGAAAGCTGAAGTATTAAACATTTTTTCCTTCTGTCTTCATGAATAAGGTCAGCTACCAGATGACAAGCATAGTGGGCAGGAAGAAGGGATGGGGAGGATTAGGAGTGGGGTAAGATAATCAACCTAAAGTAGAACAGAACAGGTTACAGATTACTTAGAGAGGCTGGATGTTTTCAAATCTGCAGGGCCAGATGTGATTCATTAGAGAGAGTAGTTATGAAACTGGCTGAGATAGTTGCACAGCCACTAACTATTCTCCTTGAGGACATATGGAATTTGGGTGAGGTCATGATACTGTGCTCATCTTTAGAAAATGAATGAGGATCCAGGAAACTGTAAAGTGGACACAGCTAGTTAGAGCAGGGATGTTCAACCGTTGGGGCCACAGGCCAAAATTCAGACTGCAGAGTCATCAAAACTGGCCCGCAGAGCTCCCTATGGGTCCAGAAATTTGGCAGTGGGGAAGCAGTGGCCATTAATATGGCCCACATTCCCAAACCCTAAGTCTCACACACCTGGTGGGAGCCAGGCAGTGGTCCCTTCTCCCTGTGAGGCTGCACCACACCCCCTTTCCTCAGAGGCAAGGCTATGCTCCCTTTCCTTAGGGAGTCTGGCTTGGAACCAGGCTATGTTCCCTCCTCACCTTCCATGTGTTCAGGCCATGCCCCCTTTTCCCTGGGGGCCGGGTTGGGACTGGGCCAAGGCCCCTTCCTCCCCACTGGGCTGGTCATGTCCTCTCTCCTCACCCCACTCCTGTGGGGCTCCTCTCCTTTCCCTCCTGTGTGGCAGGGGATGTGGGGCTGCCCCCGAGCCAAGTGTGCTCGTTGCAAAAAAGCCAATGGTATACGGGGCTATATTAACAGGGGTGTTGCTTGCACTAGTTTTCTTCAGTCTATTCAGAATTGTGAGGCCTCACCTGAACTACTCAGGTCCAGTATTGGGCACCACGCTTCAAGAAAGGCTTAGACAAACTAATGAGTACAGAGGAGAGCAACAAAAATTATTAGAGGTCTAGAAAATATGACAATAAAAAAAAGAATAGAAGAACTGGGATTATTTGATCTCTGGAGAAGAGAAGTGGGTTAAGAGGTGGGGAAGGGAGGGATTCGAGAAGAGAATTTGTTAGCAGTTCTCCAAATACATGAAGAACAGATCATTTAGACTCATGAGGAGAAGACTGGGTGGGGAAGGGCAGAGGTGACAGAAACCTGGTTAGAAGAAAGGGATGGTGAAAGAATATTTTTTCCATCTGCATGGGACAGGACAAGGACTAACACTCTTAAATTGCAACAAGAGAAAAGCAGGGTGGATATCAGGAAGAACTTCGTAGCTGTGAGTTTGGTTAAACACTTAGGTAACACCATGAGCTAAAAAGAACCTGCGGTGCAGCATATAAAAATAGCTGAATTATGCATGATCATACTCTATACTTCCTGACTAGAAGGAAAGGCCAAATGCTAAGCTACTTACACAGGACCAACTTCTTGTCATGTCTGATCATAAAACATTTTCTGAAGGACTGCTAACTGAGAAATATGTATGGTGTACACCATGGATATGGCAAAAGTACATCTGAAAGTGAAAGGGTCCACAAACAGCAGGACGTTGAGGAACACTGCAAAAACATTAATCCTCTCCCCCTCTCCTCACCCCGCTTTTGTTTTAATCACCGGAATCCTAGCTAATAATGTAAGCTGTAATTCATTTATTATTTGTATGAATTAGAGAAGTTCTACTAAAGTTTCATTATTGTTTCAAAATGACAGTAGGAATACTGTGGTTTTACTCAAATGCTCTCAAGTCAGCAAATGACAAATATGCCCATTGAACACTCATTTGATGCCTTATGGATATGTTTTACAATAAACTTAATTACATATTTTAAAGTACAACATATTTTTCCCCTCCGCAGATACATCTACAACTCATGAATTTTTCTTGCTTACACTATTTTGTATTTAAATTGCTCAGCATATATATTCATTACTTTACCTAAAAATCCACATCATTTTGCTTAATATATCTCTTTATTACTTGAAACAACTGCCAGTTGTAAAATACTATTTTCAACAAGCTACCTCATGGGCATAATTTTACATGTCTAGGCATTTAATTATGAACCTGACTTTCCTAGACTTTTTTTTTCCTTTTCTGTAAGAAAAAAGTTCCATTAGTTTAATTTGAGGCTTCCATGGAACTTGTCTATTGCAATAATTTTATTTAGAAATAATCTACCACATCAGAAATAAATGTTTTGATTGTACATTTTAACTGTCTTTACTACATGTGTTAAAGGCATATGCATTTTAAGTATTAAAAATAAAATATGCATCTCAGAAGAAAACCAAAAACATCATACATTAGTTCTCTAGCTAAAACACATAAAGGTGAAAAAGCTGTGCAATGGGTTCAGAATTGCAACATATTAATAATATCACAAAGCATGTATGATATAGTCAATGCAGGAAAGTTGTATGCTAATTTAATAAACATTCCCTGAATGAACAGAGTTGACCTAGACAAGCTAGCTTAACAGGGAGCTCTAGGAAATGCAAGCATGACAATGGCCCGAAACAAGAATATTCAAGAATATGGGAACTGCTGTCAGCTTCAAGCACATTGTATCTGTCTCTAGTGAAGATGCAGGCTTGTTTTACTATGCTGAAAATGGAAATACAAATAAAACAAAAGGATTTAACTGCTTTAAAACACAGTCTATGCTTGAAATGTAGGGGCTGAAATCGTTTTAAGTTGAAGGAATGGACTATGCCAACCAGACCTGCAGCTTCCCAGGAAAAGGGGAAGAAAATAGAAAATGTATAGCTAACAGCAGCAGACCAAATTTATCATCTACTAAATCCTGAGGCAAGCTAGATTTGTGTGTGTACACTAGCTTGCAGTTAAGTAATTCTGACACTGAGGCAGCATCTTTGCAGGCCATCAGTTTAAGGAAAAGATGATAAAACAATGAAGCCAAATGCTTATATGCACATGTGCATGTTCACTTTCATATGTACACAGCCACATGTTGGAGAAAATCCTTCACTAGAATGTTTGTCTCTTGTTATACAAGTCAGATCAACAGCAGCCATTAACAAAACATTATCAAACCAATTAAAATACCAACTACAATACCTACTACGGTAACAAGCATAAATTATTATAATTGAGATAATTATTAATTTTACATAGGAAAAGCAAGAATAAAATTCTAATTGATACTCTGATTTTATCATGACAAAAACTGATTGGTTTGAAAAAAGAAGCGTCATTTCACAGGAAATTTTCATTCTATGTCATGGAACTTTCCATTTTGATCTAGAATGAAAACACTTAAACATCTGAATTTCCTACTGAACAAAACCACCATTTCACTTCACCCTAAACTGTAAATACACATATATTATCATTTTCAGTACCTCATACTTTTTACTGAAGTTGTAGGCACATTTTTTAAAGAAGAAAGATACTTTTGGGTTGGTCTGATCATGTCATTCTAGTAGATTTTATATGCTCTGGGGTTTGTTTTTTACTAGAGACTGCAACATTAAAATGACAAGACAGTGAACTATCTTAAAAAGACAGCCAACATTACTGTAACTTAAAATTTGAGTAGAAAAGTAAATCGAATGGGTCATCGTTCAGTACATATTTGACATCTGGCACTGTTTCACAACTAATTTATTTCAAATATTTCAAGTATTTCTATATTAAAAGCTAAGCCAATAGCAAATTTTCTTTCTTTTTTCTTTTTTTTTAAAAAGCAAGTTATGGAGCAATTTAGACTGTGCGTACAAATCTTAATGTGACTTACCTCTTTCACTGGCATCATCTACAAGTACGATTTCTTCCAGCATGTGCCGTGGTGACCGGTTTATCACACTATGAACAGTTCGTAACAGTGTGCTCCAGGCTTCATTGTGAAACACAATAACAACACTTGTAGTAGGAAGGTTGTCCAGATATACCTTTGTTTTACACCTATGGACAGAAAGATAAATCAAATACTTTACAGGTGAGTTATGTCCAGATTAGTATTGCTATCAGTTTAAATATAAATTTGAATATTTACATTGAAATGTAAATCCTGGATTGCAATATTTAATATTAAATACTATGCCTCGACTTATAATACTTAAGGGTTTTTTTGGTTTGTCTGTTGCTTTGGTTTTGATTTTTTTTGTTTTTGTTATTAGATGGCTCCATGGCAAAAATGCTCCTTACAAGAAACCTCTGAAGTAAAACAAGTGACATCTGTTACCTACTGTTGACACACAAATGTGTACGGACATCACAATATACCTATTTTGTGGATGAAGTTCATCATATCCCAGCATGCCAACTTTACCCATTAAATTAGACATATTCTTGTTAAAGGAAAAAAAAAATTAAGAATAAAAATTCCTTAAGTTAGGAAGTGAAACTAAAAATGAAATCAGAAAAAAAATCAAAGCATAGCCACAGGGAAAAAGTAAGTTAAAATATGTTTTTCTTTCATCTATAGAGTAATTTGAAATGAAGTTGGTATTTGGATAAAACCACATGCTGTCTACAGTCCCTGCTGTGGGAGAGAGGAGGAAAGTATCTCTGCTTAAGCAGCAAGTGGTGAGGTGGGGAAGGGGGGCAGGGGAAGAGCAGGGGGAAGGGGGGAGGTGCAGCACTGCTGTGGAGCAGAGAGCCCCTCCCAGCTCAGAAAGCATGCCAGGATGCTGGGGGTGTCTGGTTTAGCTTAAACCAGCAAAGGGTCTGGGACAGACATTGCATAAACCAGGTTGAGCCAAATCAGTTAAGTCTGATACTACATTCAACCAGGTTTATCTCAAACAGGTTTCAGCCATTTTCAAACTGGTTTATGTGCACTGAACATCTATTCTGTTACAGGTTTAAACTAGTTTCTGACCACTTAAACCAGTTAGTGTAATATCTGTCCCTGGCCCAGAGGAGCATTAGACCTGGCACACTTGATCAGGTGCCCAATCACACAGGGCCAGGCAGAAGCAGTGCCAGGACCTCAGAAACCAATCCCAATCCCATCAGGAATGGATGGTGCTAGGCCCCCAGGCCTGATCCTGGTGTGTGGGGCTCTATCTGGCCCACAGACCAGCCCTGCTCCACTCATCTGGCCCATAGGGCCAAAAGGCTGAACACCACTGCTCTACACCAACAATAACCAAGACAAAATTTTCTAAGCTTGTCTACATGTATTGTGCCCAGGAAAATTAACAGTTATTGCAGTCTCTCTCTAGGGCTAGGGGCAGACATTACACACAAACTGGTTTAAGTAATCAGAAACTGGTTTAAACCTGTAACAGAACAGATGTTCAATGCACATAAACCAGTTTGAAAATGGCTGAAACCAGTTTAAGATAAACCTGGTTGAATGTAGTATCGGACTTAACTGATTTGGGTTAAACCAGTTTATACAATGTCTGTCCTAGACCCCTTGCTGGTTTAAGGTAAACCAGACTCCTCCAGCACCCTGACATGCTCTCTGAGCCGGGCAGGGTTCTCTGCTCCACAGCAGAGCTGGCCCCTCCCCTCTGCTCCCTGGCTGAAGCTCCGGCAGAGACTCCAGGCACAGCAGGATCTACCTGGATCCCCCCTGCCCTACCCCCACCTCACTGCTCAAGCAGGAACCCACCCCTCCCCCCTCCCTCCCATCTCCCACAGCATGGACCCCTGTCCCACAGACACTAGGCATATGTGGTATGCTAGTGAATGCTTAGAGGTGCCTATGTGTGCCTCTCTCTAATTTCACTGGGACAGGCAGACAGAACAGTGACCACTTGGGGCTTTTTGCAGCTAATCAACAGGTCAGCTGGTAAGCTGTTTAAGAAGAGTTTGAACTAATGGAGAGAGGCTATTGTTTTGCTGATGAAGTGATAAACACTGTTATCAGCTACCTGCTGGCTTGCTTGCCTGTCAGTTTGCTGTAGACAGTATAATGAAGCAGGGAGGGAGATTAAAAAGCTGTGTATCATAAACAGATGCATTTAATGTACCACCTTCTCTGCTTGCCTCAGAGTGCTTGCAGGGGTCTGGCAACATTCCTGCCCCTTGAGCAGCCAGTGGGGAAAAGCCAGGGATGGTGCAGGCAGACCCTAATCAAAGCGTCCTAGCGAGCCTGGCCATGCCCCCCGCCTCAGCTCAGCAAAATGCAAGGAAAGGGAGGGCTGCTCTAGCACCCCCTGGCTTCTAGCTGGAGCCACTACAGGCACGTGCCTGAATTTTCTCAGTCCAGAGAGAATGTCCATCTAGTTACAAACTGGCTCAGCCTAGCCAGGTTACACTAATTTGCAAAGATTGAATCTATTCAGGCTCAGGCTTTTTTAATGTCTATCCCTAGCCCAGTGGTTTAAGGTTTATGTTGTCATATTAAACAAAAATTCCACCCTAAAAAATTTCCCAGTCATTTCTTAAACTGCAAAGGGCTGGACAACTTAGGAATCTACTAAGAATATTTCCAGTCTTTTATTTATATGTTGCCAGAATTTTGATTTGTTTAGACTATTTTATTTAACTGACTTCAAATCATTAAGTCAGTACAGTAAAAGTCAAGTCAAAGAATTATATATTATCATATATACTTACCATTACTTTCCACCAAACATTAAATATACTAAATACAATAGACCTGCCAACTACATGGTTTCCTTCGGACTACAGGTTTACGTGCCTTCCTTGCATGTAAAGAAATTACTGTTTCATTGGTTCCCTAGTTGCTAGGGAAGGACATTTCGTCTTCACACTTGGAATAACAGATTCATCAGAGGAAGGACAGAGGTACTTCCATATCATTAACTTGCTGGGTAACAGCTGTTCCGAGTGACTCTGCAACTCCTCTTGTAGCTCCTAACACTCCCCCCAAGGACCTGAAAGCAGGGAGTCTTCATCTACTGTTTTATTAATTTATTAATTTTGGTGACAGGCTGATAGGTATCTGACCTGCTCCCCTCAGGATTAGGGAGGCTCTGTGGCATTGCTACTTTTTAATTTTTTAATTTTTTTTTAAAAGAAAAACAAGTTTTTAATGGTAGGGTGATGGACGAAGAGGGAAGAACATATTTTACACCGATATTGGCGGTGGAGCGCAGCTTTTCCTTAAGAGAAAAATAACATTTGTATGGAATTATTTTGGGATGCATTAATGCAACAAGAGAGAGAGACTAAAACACAATCTTTGCTCCTCATCTTCTTTCCTTCTGCCACCTCTGTCACTTTAGAAATATAATATGCAAACTTAGATTTATGCAAATATAAATATCTGCCAATGTTTTTCAAAAAACAAACAAAAAATATTTTACTCTTCCCACCCACACAGTCAAACACCACAGAGAGGAACGGGAAAGGAAAAACAGGGGACTTTATATTGTTCAAAGTCAAATGATAACTGTGATGAGAGCATTAGCATCCAAACAAAAAATATTAGCATAACCACCATTATTGAGAAAATATTAAATGAAGAGTCATTGTTGTCTTTAGTTTGTAACCCAATAATTCAGAGTATAGACTCTCCTTCTCATTTGCCAACCTAAGCATAAAGGGACCCTATTGAAAAATAATAATTAAATTCAGTAGTAATATTTCTAATAATGCTAATACCACAGAACTTTTGGATCTGGATTTTTAAAACTACTGTATATTGCTCTTTCCATTACACAATTTTTCTGACCTAATAATAATAAGAAATATATTTTACCAACAGAACAGCAAGAGCTCCACAAGATTTAAAGATGACCCCAAATGACTGTTGGAGACATCAGCTGTATATTAACTGTATGTCACGTCACTGTAGACTCTTCTGCAAGGGCATGTTACACAGAGATACATACACTAGCTCAGGTACAGAAAACAGTATAACCATTATTGTGGCACTCCACTTGAGCTAAACTAGATCTGGTGAGAACCGGAACACAGTCTGAGGCAAGCATGATAGCTCAGGTACCCGCGCAACTGTATTGCTCCTTGAAAACGCACTGGAAGGCCATGTCCAGATGAGCGCAGACATTTGGTTCCCAGGAGATAAGTAGCAGCAGTGCACCTTGAGCCATTGCTACTTGTCCCTGGGGAATGCCCATGCCACACACTTACCCCAGGGGTGGTAGAGGAGGCTGGGGCCAGCACTGTGCTGGCCCCAGCATCCTTACATAGGATCTTGGGGGACTCCCAGGGCTGCAGCTCCAGTGATCCTGCTGTGCAGAGCCTGGCCAGCAGCTGGAATGTGGCTCCAGGTGGCCCAGCTTCACTTTTCAGCTGTGCACGCTACTCGTGCATGCACTGCTCTGTTTTTTTTCCCCAGGGTTTTTTTTTTTTTTGGACCCCGTAGATATCCAGGGGTCAAAAAAACCCCTGCTGACTGTGTAGTATGTAGCTCTGCAGATAAGTGTGTGCGGCACCACATACCACACCACCACGCATGTCTGGGTGCACCCTAAAGGGCCAAATTATATTCCACTTACTACTCCACTCTGTTTGGGCTCATAAAAAAAGTTAGTATTTTTTATAGCATGCCTTCCTTTTTGCCTTAAGATTATGTCCCAAGAAGTAGAAAGGAGCAGGAGGACCCATACATGTATTGCATTAAAAGGGTTTTTTGGGGAACTTGGACATGCATTTTGACACCAAAGAAGTGGAATAAGATGTAGTCTTCAGTGGTTAGTTCTTCCCTTGGTCCTCCACTTGTAAGCTGCTGGCTATCTCTGCATCATTAGATTGCTGTGGCTCCCAAAACATGCTGGGTACTGTTAAAATGCAAGTTTATAGTTACTGCGCTGCAATCCAAAAGAGAAAAAACAATGGATGGATACATAGGATGACTGCAATTTACAACAGAGCAGCATGACTAGTCTTTTTAATTACATAGATTTTATTTTTATGTTAATAATACCAATATTTGCTCCACTTCCACCTTAAAAGCCTTTCCTCTTCTCCCATGACAGAATATCCAACTTCAGTTTCACCATCTGTGGGCTCCACACTCT